TGTTGGCCACGGTATTGTTCTCCAGATATGTTGGCATAGCTTGGTTAGAATCTTTACTGATACCAATAGAAGAGAATATATATGAAGCTCAGGGTTGAACTGTGGATTGGGGTTCTCTGAACTTGGTTGTTTTGTTGCAGACGTTTCATTACCTGTCTGGGTAACATCTTCAGTGCTAGAAGGGAGTGGAGTTTGCTCTATTTATATGCAGTAACTTGCCTTATCAATGTTGGTGAGGGAGTTGTTTTTTCCTTTGGTAGTTCCTACATTAGGCTGGGGTTTACTGCTTGTTTGTCTGAGTTGGTAGTTCCTTAATTAGGGTATTGTTTATTACTTGATTGTTTGTCTGGCATTAATCCTGGTGTTAATCCCTGCTTATCTAGGTGTTGATTGCTGGCCAGGAGGTGCTCTGGTCTTTTTGTTTCCTTTTTATTATCTCTTTTGAATAGTGTGTAAATGTTGTTTCTCTCTATGTTCCTGTTGATGGCTGACTTGTCTGAATATCAAGCTTCCAGGAATTCCCTCGCATTTTGGGATTTAGCTTGGTCTAAGAAGCTGACAGTTTCCCAGTTGAAATTATGGTTAAGTCTGTCCATGTGTTGTGAGATTAAGGAGTTTTCATCGTGCCCTTCTCCTTCCACTTCAATAAATTTGTGTTTCTAATTTGGACCTTTTGGAAGACTTTCCTTGTTCTTGCATGTCTGTTTCCATCTTTGATGTCCTTATAGATGTTGTTGTAATATTGTTTCTTGTCTCTTCTTACAGCTTTATCAAATTATTTAAGTTCCTTCTTGAGATCTTTCTTTTTTGGCTTTGGCTTCTCTTCTCTTCTTGGCACTCTCCACAGTTTATTCTGACATCCAGTTTGTTTTCTTCTGTTTCTTCATCTTTGGCAGATTCTTTTCACATTCATCCTGAATAACATCTTTGATTTGATTCCATACTTCTTCTGGTTGCCTATCAATGAGGTTCAGGTCTTCAAAGCAATTCCTGTTAAGGATGTTCTCCTTAAAAATGGTGGGTATATGCTCAGGATCATATCATGGAAATTGGTTGGCTGTTCATGACCTATTCCACAGTTAGCCCCTGGACTTGTATTTGGTGTTATAACTGAGCTCTTCCACCTCCTTGTGACAATTTAATTTAATTAATTGGTACAAGCATGCAATAGTAATGTTGAGGGAGTGGATTAAAGATACTGACATCCAATTAGATCTGGCACCTCTTCCCAAGGATATACGGACCACCTCATTCACCCTCCTTAGACCTGCTAGATGCCTAAGTCAAATTACAATCCCTAAATATAGGAGGACATTCTTCTTGGCATGATTTGATGCTCTTTCTACTGCAGTCTTACGTAAGAGATAGAGATAGAAAGATGGCCAATTTGTACTAAGCTTTTGTCCATGCGGCAAAGGGGCTATTGAAACCCTTGAACACATTTAATAATATTGGCCATTTATCAATAAAAGAGAATATATGTAGCTCAGGGTTGAACTGTGGAGTCCTTGGTACTCTCTGAGCTTGGTT